GACAACACCAAGTCAAGGGTTAAGATCCCCTTACCGGTCATCTTTTAAAGAAAAAAATAAATAAATAAAAAAAATAATTTTTTGTCTGGTAATTGTTTTGCCAGGATTTAGGTTTTTCTTAAAACATGATAGTCATCGTATTTAAAAAATGAGAAATAGAGGACTGGCTGGTCAAGGGTTCAAACCCCGTACTGGCCAGTCACCAAAACAAAAGGAAAAAAAAAACAAGAGAAATACAGATACAAATAAAGTAAATATTTTAAATATTAAAAGCAACATATTATGGGAAAGTTAGAACTTGCTTAAAGAACGCAGACATGACCCTCTATATGCCTGGCCATAGCTTTCTGCCCCTCGGCACAGAAAAGGTGAAAAGAACCACAGCCCAATAGGAAGGCCCAAATGAAACGCTAGAGGGCACCGTTATCCCAAAGAAGTTTAAAATTTTACAAAACCATTTCCTCAACCGGCCCTCCAGCTACCCTGATAAAAAAAGCAATTCAATAATTTTGATGTTTGGAATTAGTCATAACATGTAGGCATTCACATAAATTTAGTAATTTAAATGCTCTTTTTCTTCCTTTCAGTGCCTTACCTCTGTCCACCCTTAATCATATACCACTATCCCCTTCCCTCGACGTGTTCCAACCACACTGGCCTCCTTCCTATTTCAGGCTTTATCCAGCCTCACAGCCTTGGCGCTTACCGCTCCCTCTACCCATAATGCTTTTTCAATAATTATCCTTCATCTGGCTCCTTCCCATCATTCAGGTGACTCAAATGTTAATCCTTGAAAAAAGACTTTTCCCAACAACCTGACCTCAGGTAGACACCCTCCAGGTCACACTCAAACATTTCGTTTTGTCTTCAAAGTATTCCAAACAATGTTACCTGCTGTGTTTATTTCCCTACTATGTCTCTCCCTAGATGTGAGTTCCATGAAAGGAATGTAGATAAGAACTTTTCTTGTTCACGCTGGTGTCCCCCAGGCTGAGGATATGACAAGGGCTTGCAAAAATATCAACTAATTTTTAGACATAAATGAGTTTGAGGGCCGGCCCGTGGCTCACTCGGGAGAGTGCGGTGCTGATAACAACAAAGCCCCGGGTTCGGATCCCATATAGGGACGGCCGGTTCGTTCACTGGCTGAGCGTGGTGCTGACAACACCAAGTCAAGGGTTAAGATCCCCTTACCGGTCATCTTTTAAAAAAATAATAAATAAATAAGTAATTTTTTAAAAAAAGAGTTTGAAATCACGACACTTTTGAGTTCGAACTTCCTAGCTTCTCAGTGATTCACCCAAATGATTCGGCCTCTCTGGGCCTCTCATTTTTTCACCTGGAGCTTGGG